GACGTCTCTTGCAATGTTTAAGTCGAAGTTTTCCTTGTTCAAAGGTGATTGACTTTACAAGTCCATATTTTTAGATGATGTGTAGTAATTAGTATCGCCTCAATGATGGCGGAAATTAAGTCAATTCAAAGCGTTACCTTTACTCTTTCAGCAACGACTTGTGATGGTCGCCTCTGGTAACAAGAACACTTGCTACGCCACAACATGTGATCACTTAAACGACTTCAGTTCGAGCTCTTCAAGTGGCACTGCGGTGGCAGCAGGAGGTGGTGCCTGTGGAGGTGGTGGTGGTGGAGTAGGAGGGGATCAGGTGAACACCTCTCCATCCTCTCAGACCCCGACAATGGCTACTGCCTTCCAACAGACGTCTTCAGGAGCACAACCACCACAGCTGCAGTCACCTGCTGGAACTCTGACTGTTCTCGTGCGTGGCTCCAATTCTCAGAACTCATTACAAGTGAGTTTTGTGCCTTTATCGTGACCACCAAGGTATTGTAGGCAAGTGTGTAATTTTAAAACTAGAAGGTTAAAAAAAATTACAGCTTTATGATTGCGTACAGAATTGAAGTGACCTCGATTGGCATTTAAGGCCATTTTTGGTTGCCTTTAGCAATAAAGAATGTGAAAGGGTCATTCTTACATTAATGCTGCCATCCAAAAGGATAAAGAACTTCAAAATCTATTCCATTAATACGCCTCATTTAAAAAACCACAATCCAAATAATTTAATAGCATCTGCCTAAATACCTCCTCTTTTACTTTAAGGTGGAGATGTAGTTTATCCCTCACTTAAAGTTAGACCAAGGCTCGAAGAAATCAAATTATGGTTATCACCATCGGAAAGGCGATGTTTTATCAATTCTGTTTTAACCTCCTTTCAATATTTCTTATTTTATAAGTGCTAATTGACCTGGATGTTAATTTTAATCCACCACTTGACTCTGCAGGTGAAATCTGGGCCTCTTAAAACAATAAATATGATAGCATTTAACTCCTTTCCCCTTCCGCCCCCCCTCCCTACATTATGGTTCAACAGGGTAGGTAGTTAATCATAGTTTTTACCGATTCCCCAAACACTGATTGCGTCTAGACGTTACCGTTTTTTTGGGCTCTACGTCTAATGATTTATAATCAAGGCTACAAACTTGGAGATTTAAAAAAATTAAATCACCCTCTTGCGATGCACCAAAATAGGGTGCACGAATGGTGCCATCATGTAAAATATGACGGCGCAGCACTCGAGTCAAAGGAAGATGAAACACTTGGGCAGGACCTGGGGCTATCACCGATTGCCTGGAGACCGTGCTGCCCTGCGGATGCCTACTGGTGAAGGTCCTAGTGATCCGTTATTAAATTTTTACCAGCAATATACTCGCTTCCAAGCCTCTATGGGAGTGAAACAGTCCCTCGACCATCCTTGCTCCACTGAAACCATTAACCCTCTCATTTTAAGCTCCTTCATCTGTACGGATTGTGCTTACTTTAGTCCAAATCTTTTCCAGTCTTTACATGAAATTTGCACATATTTAAGGAGAGTGGGACCCACATGGGCTAGAGAGGATGAGTGATGAAATTACTTAACGACAAGTATCCCATTTTAGGAAAGACCCTCTCTTTTGGACAGTAATGAAGAGTGACATCTTGCCATGATGTAACATGACTGGAAAGCATTGCGAAAAAGCTCTTAACTGTATTTACCGCTGATGACAAAAAAATTAGGTTCTATCAATGCACACACGCATCAACGGGAAAGATGGTACCTGTTAAGCCATTTGTCGCACAACACGAGATGACAAAAGGCTTAAAGGACGATCAGCTTCCTCCTGCCCGTATTTTATGTCATGCATTGTAGAATGACTATTAGCTGACTCACCAATGATGAAAGATGGCTTTCACATTGTGAAATTGGACGAATGAAAAGGTTATTATTTGCACCCAAAAGACCCACTCTCTGCCCACGCTAAACTCCCAAGAAGACCAAGCACGCCTTAACGCAAGCGTAATTTACGGCAAATGTCTATCCACTCAGCAACTCTCGGCGAGCTATTGAATACTCCGTCCTTGAAACAATGGAGTTTCCTTAGTCCATGGGAAGGTAAACCTTAATATGCGATCATACGAAATCGTCGAATGTGACCTCCTAACGTAATGTCTTCGATCTATTACCGTAATTTAAGAACAAAGCAAGGAACTCTAAGTCTGCCTGTGAGACTTATCTTTCAGCATTTAGTATTAAACGAGCCGCAGGTCGAGAGAACAAGAGAGAGGCGCAAAAAAATTCGTTTTGGACTTCTATAAACAGTATCACAAAAGCACAGTTTGCAACTAAGAAGAAGTTGCTAAATTTAATGAAATTTTGAACAACATTCCTACAAAAGCCCAGGTTTTTGAAACCTCAAGATATCAAACACTCCATTTCCTAATACTTCTGTTATTCATTACGCATTCCTTTGAATTGGCACCTTTCACTCAAGCCAAAAACAAAAATATTGACATTAATTAGCCTCAGCATTGTTAATGTCTTACCTTTGAACTCTTCAGTACATCACCACTTGCCGCAAAAATGCAACTTTTGTAGTGCTTCCATCATTCATCACAAATTCCAAATACCGCAGCGTCTCCTTCCCACCAACAGCAGAAGAGGTGATTGATCTGGCAAACAAGCACTTCCGTCCTCAGTTATTACTTTTTTTCTTGCCGTAACTGTTTACTTTGGCGCAAAAGTAGGAGTTGGCCATCTTCTTCCTCCCCTTAATTAAAACGTCACTGGAAGTGAAACCTACTGCTTAATTACTTATGACGTGAAGCCACTGGGTTGATAGAAAAGAGGTAGCAACCGTGAATCCTGCCTTCCTGATATCCTATGTCATGAGGAAAATGTTATAATGACGTGTTGATGTGTTATGCTCCAGTTTTGACCAATCAACGGGAGCTTAACGTACGACTTATTTTGACTAGTCTTTGCGATGCAAGACTTCCACCTCTCTCTCTCTCTCTCTCGTACTTTCGCAATTTGAGCATCAATTTTCTGTTAGCTTAAATGAACCTTCGGTCACCACCATTTCCGGATGTAGTTCGGAGCTAAAATTGGATCATTTATGGTTACAGAAGAGGTTACAAAAAGGCGATTGAAAAAATGGATGAGAGGAATGCGGATCTACCGCGAAATCCCCAAACTAGGGAAATCTATGAGGCGAAAATAGGGGATCTCAAAGTTCAAACACTTCAAAATCTAAAAATACCAAGCAACTTCTTACGGCTTTGCCCC